CTTTGAACTTGTGGCAATCCTCCTACCTCCGTCTCCTGAGTGCTGGGATTAGAGGCGTGTGCCATCACACTCAGCTCACAAGTAGTTCATGAGATCTCACACTGTACTTCAGTAAATTGGTTCTGAGGAAGGTAAAGGAACTTGCTCAAGGCCACACAGCCAGTGGATCAAGCTCATAACTGCTTTGTGTGTGTGTGTGTGTGCGCGCGCGCACACACACAATCTTGTACTTGCCTGGCAGCTGCTTCTACTGCTGACCTAAATCCCTGGCCCCTATTTGTTTTTGTTTTTTGTTTATAATTGCTTATTCTTTTTGTCTTTTTCCTTTTTATCGGTACCGGGGATCGAACTCATGACTGCCTGCTTGCAAGGCAGCACATAAACGCATAAGCTGCTGAGCTAAATCCCAGCCCTTCTTTTTGTCTTTTTGAGACAGGGTCTCACTATGCAGTTCAGGCTGGGCTTGAGCTCATTTTGTAGCCCAGGCTGGTCTTGAACTTGCAATGATCCTCCTGTCTCAGCCTCCTAAGTGCCGGGGTTACAGGCATGCGCCACCAAGCCTGGCTGTTCATAACTGCTTCTTATTCCAAAGCTCAAGCTCATAACATCTGTGTCAGTCAGCTTTCCTTTGTTTCAGTCATTTCAGTTCCAGGTCACTTGGCCCCTGTTCTTTTGGAGCTCTGTTATGTGGGACATTGTGGGGTAATTCAGAGGAGTAAATGCTTCACCTGAGGAAAACAAAGCAAAGCAAAACAAAACAACAATGTATGCTGAATTTTTATTCAGATAAAGTTTTAAAGAGCAGTCTAATTTAGTTGTATTAATAGTGAAAAAATCACATTTTGATTTGAAAGAGCTCTTCATTCTCAGGACTGAGGATTTAGCTCAGTGACATAAGTGCCTGCCTGGCAAGCATGAGGTCCTGAGTTTGATCCCCAGTATTCCTCCCCCCAAAGAAATCTTCATTGTCAAAGATTAAGGATGATATAACTTACTGATATGGACTCTTTAATTCCATATTTAGGATTAAAAAGACCTACTTTGCTCTTATGTCTTACCTTTTTTCTTTCTAATGTATGTGACAGTCTGTTTTACTCTATTTCATTTCCCTTTATTAATTTTGCATTGGGCTGGGAAGGCTAATTCCCAGATCCTCAAATCTTAGAAAATAAGAAAGGCCTAAGAAAATGAAAGGCTTATTTTTTTTTTTTTTTGGTTATGTCACAGTTCAGTGTATGAAGTGAGAAGGTGCCCTCCTTTGCCACTCTTCAGAAAGCAGGGCTACTTGTTTGTGGTGTGTCAAGGACTTTGTACAGTTGAGATGACAAAGTGAGGGTGTGGAGGACTGCATGGTAAATTTTATTCCAGTTACTGGGCAGTGTATTTCACACTCTCGCACGTCCCATCAGCTAGAGCTAGGGTTTATCACCATGTTTAATTGATTAGTAGGCTAAGAAACAGAAAGTTGCTCAGAAGGATTCACTCAGTAGAGTAAGTTTGGAGAGCAAGTCCCTGCTATATCCAGCTTGCTTAGGTAACTTCCTTACAATGGAAGACTTGAAAAGTATAGATCATAAATACATAGTGCTTATTAATTTGCTCACAGATTGGCTGTTATGATAAAAGGCAAACAAAACACAGTAATTTAAACAAGATACAGTGTTGGGCTGGGGGAATGTAGCGCAGTAGAAGGTCATTTGCCTAGCATTTGCAAGGCTTTGAGTTCAGTTTCTCAGCACTGTAAAACTAACAAAGATACAATTTTTTTCCCCCGTGGAGAAAAACCTAAACCAAAAGCTTCAGGCTAGCTCATAAGATATGGTGGCTTCACAAGATCAGGTACCTAAAACCTCCTTGTATATTGTCTTCCTCACCACCTGTTTGACTTCCTTATCAGCTTCACCCCCCATCATTGTGTTCATGTTCTGACAAGCTGGAAAGAGAAGGGAAAGTAGAAACTGTGTCCCTTCCCTTTAAAAGCATCACATGAAAGTTGTCCATGTCCCTGCTGCCTATTGTTCTTTGGCTAAAACTTGGTAACCTAGCTCCAATGGAAGGTGGGAAATGCAGATTCCACATGGGGGCCATATTCCCAGCTAAAGTGTGAATGTTCCTGTACTAGAAAATGGGAAGGACAGATATTAGGGGCAATTAGGAATCTGCTACAGCCTACCTTTTCATCTACCAAATAGTCATGGGCAACTTCCACTTCCCTTACAAAGCATATCAGGATTCTGTGGGAAGTAAAGCCATAGTAAAGGTCATGGCTATGGACCGTGGACTCTGTTAAAAAGTATGTCTATTCCAACTAGACCTTCTGGAATTGAGAAATGCTAATTGGCTCAGAAATGTATTGGGATGACTTTAGGATGGACTTAATGTCATAACTCTGCTAATTATCTGGCTTCCATAAAGAATTACTTTAACTGATGGAACATAAGGGCATTTTGGGTTAGTAGGAATTAGTGTCACTTCAGAATCAGAGTCTAGTAATCCTTGAAAACTGCCAAGGACTCTTCAGAGAACCAGAAAAAGAAGAATTAAAATGGTTGCTTAAAGCATTGGCAGAAGTGGCAAGTTGGAGTCTGAGTGATAGTGGAGAAGCCAAGTATGTGTGACTGCCAAATGGAGTATCAGAAAGCATTCCACAGAGCTGTCAGTGAGATACAGTTGCCTCAGTATAGCTCTGTAGTCAAGCATCTAGTAGTAGATCAAAACAGAGTCGAGATTGGACAAGCTGAGAACTTCCAGGAAACTTTGATACATATTTTACAGTAGGTTCCTAAATACCTTATGGATTTCCTTTTTGGTTAATTGTAGCCTAAAGCCAAAGAGGGAAGGTAACAGTTTCCAGCTCAGTACATCTAATCTGTACTTATCTGCCCTCAGAGAGAGCCAAATATATATAGTTCAAAGTTCAGGGTCTCCAGGTGGAGTACAGCTTTGCTCTCTTTTGTGGATATTATTGTTCATGATTCCATAATTTATAATCCTGACTTCTTTCTGCTCTATAACCAATAAACAGTGGCAGAATAGAAACAGGATAGCTAATAAGGTGAGATAAAGAAAGCTGGCATTTGATTTCTCAGGAGTAGCCCAGAAGCAGGAACATGATGTAACACTCTTTCAAAACACTAAGATATGGCTTCTACTTCTGGTAGTTGTAGGATAGATAACAGTGCCAGGCTACTCCTCCCACTATGAATGAGTAGAAAACTGGACAAAATATATGGAGCAATTATTTTAAGACATTATTGATAGGAAGTAGGTTTTGGAGATAATAATCATCCCAAACTGTGAGACACAGCACACATAAGACAGAACTTTCTGGCTCAAAGTGTCAGTTATACTTCCTGAAAAAACTGTATTAGAATTATAGGCTATATTAGGAACAGAGGCATTAATATTGTCCAAAGTGTTGAAAGTGGTGATTTTACTGTGTTTGTCATGGGTTTCATCCCATCTTGTGGGTTAATGCAGCTGCTTCATCACCCATCAACATATCTTTATTTAGGAAGAATAGAACATGGGGGACACACCCCATCCTTTTTAATGGCACAGTCTTTACATCCCTACTTACATGGTCATATCTTATGGTAAAGGAGCCAGGCTGGGTATCACACCTTTTAGGTGGTGGTCATGCCCAGAGCAACTCAGAAATTCTCTTGTAATAGGAACAAGTAGAGAACAGAGATTGAGAGACAAGTGTCTTCTGCTGCAAGTACCTTTCATGAAAGAAACAATAGGAAAACAGGACCAAAAGAAAACCAACCCAAAGAGTAAAAAAAAATGGAGTGGGGGGAGAGGGAAAGAGAGAGAGAGGCAGACGCTGAGCACCAAGGAGCAAGCATTTTCTTAGATAGGAAAGGAATTTAGCCTTAGGTACAAAACTGAAAAAAAATCTGTGAAACTGATAATCATTTTCCATTTTGTCATTTAAGTTTCTACTTACATTTTAAAATCCATTAAGTATCACTTCTCGGATACCCTCATTTGTTTATATGTCTTTTAGCATGTACCATGCTACAACTTCCTCTAGATTATTCCTAGCTTTGTTACTCTCTCCAGGTGATTCTAGGAGAGGCATGATAGTCAAGACATGTGTTTAGAAATAAGATGGTTTACTGAGATTTGCTTTAAAATTCTCCATCTAAAAGACAAATGTTGCTTTGTTGAAGCTGTGCGGTGGGTGAGTTCTTGAGTTCAAACCCTAGTTTAACCATTTACTAGCTGAATCACTACTTTTTGTGTGGTTTCAGTTCCTCAATATAGGACTTAATATATTAGGCTTGTTTTTATACATTTTAAAATATGACTGAATATGAAGTATCTAAGACAAGGTCTGGTTCTTAGTAGTTTTACTGATAAGCATTCTTGCTTGCAAGCAAGAGAATCTTGACTCTGACTCTGATTATGGTGAGTTCCTCTGACATGCAGGTATTCAAGTGCCAGAGGGAGGACTAGAGCAAGGGTCTCTGGTTTCTAAACCAAGAACGTTTAGTTATCAGTGTTTAGCAAACAACACCACCCCCCAAAAAGTGTTACCTACAAGTACCAATTCCTCACCATGAATGTAGTCATCATGTACTGAAAACATGTACTCATACAAATTTAAAAAAAAATTAAATAAAAGGTGTTTTCCAATTCACACTCACAGAAGTGTCTGGCGCCTAGGACTCTCAAAATTCCTGACTGGCCTAGGACGGAGGTGACTCACTGACACTATCAGGACTGCAGGTTACTTGCTAAATGGCAGCTAGGCTAGCACTGAGTCTTCCTAGGCTGGTCACCCCAACTCTAGCCAGTCCCGCCGTCTCTGAGGTCCCTCTGAGGTCGGCTGGGCACATTGGCCTCCTGAGTTGTTTGCACGACAGGCCGCTCATCTGCTCCCTCCGGGTCCTAGTGCTAAACCCTCTGCAGAGCAGCTAGCTGGCCCCATGCGTTTCCGCCAGACCACCTCCTTCCCTGCCCACACAGGGGCGGGGCGTGAGGCCTCTAGCTCTTGATTGGCTAGGATACAGGCGCTCCCCTTCTCCACCCCCTTCGACAGGGTGAGAGGTCAACTCAGTGCCAGTCTACAGGGGCGACCATGGCGGGGCTCTGGGCTGGGAACTTAGCACTGGTCGCCACCGGACGGCGTGGGCGGTCGCCAACGAAGCAGCTGATGCAGAGCGGGGCACTGTGGACCCTGAAGGTGAGGAGCGCCGAGGCTTCCTGGGCCAGGTCTTCACTGGGCTTCCAGCCTAACCCTGCTCCGCGGCTGCTGCCGGAGGGCGCTTGCCGAATCCCGCAGCCCCGTGGTTCCCTGAGCGATAGTCGTGCCCCTGCTGTCGGTCCCCGTGTCCTGGGTTCGGCCACAGTATGTGCTCTGCGCTTGCTCGTCCTCCATCCGGGAGTCTGAGCCAGAGCAGGCCGGGGGCGATGTCCCTTCTTGCAGTCGTGGTTACTTCCGCGGATCTTGGAGGGCAGTGGCCTACAGAGGCGGGCGCAAGTGCGTTTTCTACTGTCCTTCATACATCTAATGGCCTTGTGGCAGTACCAGTGCACTGGCCCATGGTTAGATTCCAGTGCCTTTCGGTACTGTACTTCCCCTTAAGCGGTCCAAGATGTGTTTTAGAGTCCTTGCAGTTCCTGTGTTCTCTTGCCTCGCCCCAGCTTTGAAGGGACGTTGAAAATAATTATTCAAGTAGAGTTAGGGTTATGAGTTTATCTTAAAATATTATTCGATGTCAGGGTTGCTGATGTTTATGTGTGAGTTGAAAACCTGATTAAATCCTATGACTTCATGGTGTACTGTATGTGAAATGCATCCTGTGAATTTGTTTTTTGTTTCTGTGTAGTGGTTAGCCTGATTTCAAATACATTGTACACCACTGTTCAACCCAGGTGTCATGTTGGCCGCTTGATCTACAGGTTGGTGTTGTACTTCCTAATTCATTTTCCAGTTCACGTGGAATCTTATAAATCTCCGGGCATAGACTACTTAATCTTTTTTATTAATAAGGTTTAAGTCATTTGAACAATTCAGAAAGCCACCGGTCACCTGGTTCAATGTGCTTTCTAAACTTTGTTTAAAACAATCGTTTACAAACTGCTACATTAAAAAAACCCGTCACATAACTTGGTTTATGGTCATTGAAATTTAGAATTGGAAGACATTTTGAGATGATCTTTCCTATCTTTAACTTTTTTGGGGGGATTTTGGGGATGGAACCCAGGGCTTCATGCATGCTTACTGTGGAATCCAAGAAGAGGCAGTTGAGGCCCATGTGGGTGGCGTGAAAACTGGAAGTAATGCCTGCATTTATATTTGCTTAGCCTCAGAATCAGAATGCCTGGTTTTACTGTTCTTGGTATTACCAAGCTAGTTTTTGTTCTTTTAACTTTACTAGGTTTTTTTTTTTTTTTTTTTTTTGTACTAGGGGATTGAACTCAGGACCCTTCACTTGCCAAGTAGGGGCTTATGTTGCTGAGCTAAACCTCCTTGTTCTTTTATCGTTATAATTCACTTGTCTTTTAGTCATTGGTGAGCATGTCAATTGCAATTGTAAGATACAAACTGAGGCAGTTTGTCCAAAGTCTGGAGTTTGGAGTCATACTTGTGAGACTTTGTATATCAGGTCATTTTTTTGAATAATAAATTAGCTATTGTTTCTTAACACATCTTTATTGAATACATCCTGTGTTCTAGCTCTACAGAATGAACATGATTTTTGCGTTCTTAAAAATTTTAATCTATTAGTAATGACAACAAGTAAGTGTCAAATGTGAAGTGCTAATGTGAAGACATGCTGGTACTGTAGAGGGATTTGATCAGGTCAAGACTATTTTGAGATCTGCCCTAGATAATTATTATTGTGCTTTAATTTATTCATTTCTCACAATAGCCAAATAATTCTCATTGACAGATGAGGAAATTAAAGTACAAAGTATTATGTGACTTGCTCAAAGCTGTACAGCTTTTACAGACCTAAGATTTAGAACTCTATTGATTTTTTTTTTTTTTTTTGTACAGGCGATTGAACTCAGGACCACGCGCTTGCTAGACAGGCGTTTATGCCCTGAACTAAATCCCCAGCCCTAGAACTCTAGAAGTAATTCTTGTTGTGCTTTGTTTGGTCATTCTGGGACTAAAACTCAGGGACTGTGTGTGTTAGGCTAGGGCTCTACTATTGAGATATACCTCCAGCCTCTAGAAAACTAGTGCTCTTAATTATACTACATAACTTAAGGGAATCTTTTCCTTTGGAAGTAAAAATTCAGACAAATTTTGAAGAACTAAGTGACCTTTTTCTTTAGAAAGAGAAGTGATGGTATTAGGAGAGAACAGCACATGTAAGGGTCCCATGGCTAAGGGTTAGAACACAGGTTAGAAGACCTGAGAAAAGCCTACTGAAGCTCTTGAGTACAGACGAGATTAGTGGTGGCAAGCCTATGGCATGCATGCTGTTTTTCTTTTAAGACAAAAGATGTTAATGTATAAGTTTTTTTTTTTTATACTAAAACTTAAGTATTCAGGTTTAATTGCAGGGTTGGCACTGTGATAAAGAAGTAGGTTTGTGGTTGTAGTTTGAACTTTGTCGCTAAGAGGTTTGCCATTGCTGAACTAGACTATACTGGAGAGTTGGACAGAAATCAGACTGCAATGGACCTTATTGACCCTGTTATGAGGTTGGTGTTTCCCAGAGAGCAGTGAGAAGTGTTGGTCCTAAAGGTAGGAGGGATGACACTGATGTTTTAAATCAGAGAGTCTGAGAGGAAGTTGTTAACTGTTCTCACTGTTGTATACTTGTGCACACACTGTGTCATAGCTTTGATGTTTTCTATCTAGTTTCTTCCCTTTGATGTGTTTGCAGAGATTGCATCTTGTCTATTTGATACAATAGGTGCTAAATGTGTGACAGTAGAGTAGTATTATGTTTGGACCAGCAAAGAGTTTGTCCTTGAAGTGGGAAGCATCTCTGAAGTTTACTGTCACTCCTAGGGAAACCTGAGCTGCTGCTTAACTTCTCTCTTCTCTTCTTCTATGAACTTGAAATGTGCTCTCCTGTATCTGTTTGAAGCAGAACTTTTTGAAGATTTTAACTCTTCCTGGCCCTTTCCCCACTTTGCAAACCTTTTAGTTGTGAAAAGTAGATAGGTAACTATAGATTACTCTAGAAAATTCAGACCGTACTTTGAGGCAGTTAACAAGGTTTGTTTATTTTTAGGATCTATGTAGTGTTTGCCTTTAAAGTCTTATTTGTTTTATGTATCAGCTTTCTAAACACATTTTATTTAAGTACCTAATTTCTTCTAAGTACATTCAGTGACTAGAGAATATGGTTTTATAGTAATTGGTACAATTATTGAATTTTTATTTGCCATGTATGGCTTTTATATAGTATGTTTTATTCATATAACAACTAATGTAAAAAAAATCCTAATTTTACAGAAGAGGAAACAGAGCTCAGAATAGTTAAGTAATGTGAGAACACAGTTGTCAGAGGTAGAATGTGAACTTTGGACAGGTATTTTCAAAGCCTTACTTTTGCCAATTGTAAATTGTCTCTGACTTGAGTAAAAGTCTTATTGTATGGTGTATCCACAGAGTTTAAAGGCGTAAGCTATAGATTTCTTAACGTTCATGATTGTAATCACTAAACATGTAAGAGAATGTTTAATCATGTGTGAGTGCTTTAGAAATGTCCAGAGGTAAAATATTTTGAGAAATCGCTGACAAATCATTTTTTGGGGAAAAAACAAACAAATGAAAAACCTTTTAGGGTTATTACATAAACCAGTTTCTAGTGTGATAAAATATATATAGATATCTACATATAAATGGAAGTGTATCTTAATAGGAGAACACTTGTCTTTCTACTTTTTTAGATTTCATTCTGTTTTTAAAGAGACTGGGCACAGTGGTAAAAATTGTGATACCCCTTTTCTAAATAAGGGTGAAAGTTTGTAACATTTTTGATCAAGAGAGTGAAGGAAATGAAGTTGTTGAAATGGTTCCAGAATGTGGGAAGACATGGATGAGCATGTGATATTTGAACAGAAAACTGATTCAGACTAGAATTCCAGACTGAAGCAATGTTAAGTGAGAAGCTAGGAGGTCAGTTGCATTTGGTGTAATCAGGGGAGGAGTGTGGCAGTGTGGTTGAGGGGAGATGTGTGAAAAGAGGTGCTAGGAGAGGAGGTAGTACAGGGTCGCATGGAGACTTGTATTCAGAACTTACCTAATACTGAGCCCAGTTGTTGCAGCTGAAGCAAATTTGGTTTATGTTTTGTGTGTCAAATGTCTTAGTGGGGATGAAGGAGTGGAATCTCGGAGACTAGTCAGTAGACTGTTGAAGGAGGCCAAGCTACAAATGATGGTACTCATGATAGGGTGGTGGCTTGCACACAAAAGGAATATGAGTCATTTATATGAAATCTCCAGAATAGGCAGATACATAGAAACAAAATATTAATGGGTGCTAGGGACTGGAAGGAGAAAGAAGCTGGTGTCTGTTAAGTTATGGGGTGCCTTTCTGGGACAATGAAAAATGTTGTATAATCAGTAGTGATGATAGTTTTTGCCTTGACTTGTATATGTATTTTAAAGGGGTAAATTTTATGGTATGTAAATTAACATTGCAATGAAGAATGTCTCTTAAAGTTATTTTCTTAAGTCATTTTTCTAAGCTCCTGAATATGGCAGCATCTTAGAGATAGAGAAGAACTGAGGCTTGGGAGAGGAAATCAAGATATAAGTTATATACTAAAATAACTGCTTTAAAAATTTTTAAAAAAATAACTGTTTTGATGGCATTTTTGAGATACAGAGAGTTGGTTGGTTTTATTTGTGGTTTGTCTGGTCATGTAATGAGTGTAGAAAAGAGAAAATGAGAAACCAACATCATAAGGTTAGTAGAAGATTCTGAAGTTGTTGAAAATGCAGAGGGAGAGTGAAAGGTGCCTTCATATGCATTATTTCATTGAATCATCAAACTGCCTTCAAATGATTCTCATTTTTAGGGCTGAGGTATGGACAAGTTGAGTAACTTGTCTAAAATCACATGATTAAGTGGTATATTTAGGATTTACACTTACATTTGTCTTTAGTACCTTTATCTTTAATAAACTTAGCTATAAGAAGGAGAAGGAACAAATTTTTCCTCCCTCCTTCCATCTTTCCTTCCTTCCACTGAGGATTGTATCCGAGGC